CCATCTTCTGAGTCAATTACCTAGTGGTCTGCCATAGCTCTTTTTTAATCACTGTCTGCAATTGGTTCTCATTAAACTGAACAGGTTCTCCAGAGCATGGAGAGTCTGTGAGTTCAAACTTCCCCTCCTTGAAACTGGAAAACCAATTCTGTGCTATTCTGTCAGTAATGATGTAATCTCCATACACAGCACAAGTGCCTCGAGCTGTTTTGGCAGCTTTGTGACCTTGATTAAAAGCAAAGTGATATTGAACATGCTCATTCTTTTCTACTTTGCATTCCATCTCAAAGCAGTATCTAATCGGAAAGTATATTTCAATAATGTATTTGTTTAAAATAAAGAGACTTTTAATTGAAGTTTAAAATTTCTACAATCTGATATATAGGACAGGTGGAGATTGGGTTATAGCCACACTATACAATAGGTAATCTTAACATTATTTGCGTCAAGTTTTTATACTATCATTTCAAATTTGGTAGGGCATGGTCTTTCTGAGGTGTGCTGTGAAAGAGATTTAAAAAAAAAAAAAAAGAAATTGAGATTTTGAGAAAGGGGTTGGGCTGATAACTTTTCAGTGCCGATAGGATTCTCTATTCTGTCAAGCCTTTCTAAATGAAGAATGGTCAAATAGGCATTGCCTTCCTAAGATTAAATCAATTGATATCATGTTATGATTGCTTTCACTATATAATAAGTAATTAAACTGTCATATCTTGACAATATTAAGATCAAGATGCTATAAATATTTACTTAATTTAGGTTAATCTGTTTCAAAGCTACAATTATGTTCTTACCCTCACTACATTTGTAATAATCTGTGAAATTAATTTTCTAACCACTAACTCACTGTAATGTACCAAGAAAGGTGTTATATATATATATATATATATATATATATATATATACACACGTTATTTTTAGTGAGTGCACATGCTTGAGTTGCTATTCCTGTTTTTTTTCTTAAACAGTGAAATTTATAACTGGCTTAACACAAGAAGTCCTACTAATGAAAAAATGTGCCTCCCAATGGGAATTGAAATTATTCCTTTTTCCATCAGACAAACTATGCCTATAGTAAAACTGGTAATGGCATACTTCAGTTATCAATGAAATTTTCCTCATGGAAAAAGTTAGTTTGTGCAGCAACCCACTATGCCTCACCTTACAAAAAGCCTTTGAGATGTCTAAGGCAATTACTCTTGAGATGGATTTATTATCAAGCACTTCACTGATTTTATGCATAATGACAGTTAAAACATCAGCAGTGGACCTAGAGGAGTGAAATTCAGACTAACCGTCACTCTAGGAAGTTGTTTCTGTTAAGGCAACTAGCAATGTTTTTGATAATGTCAAAGCTTACAGATGACACGATATTGCAATCAAGATGAGCGCTCACTTGCATTCTTACAAATTGGACATCCAGCTGACAGCTTCCATACACCTGGTGGAAAAATTTCTCTTTCAAACAGTAGTTAGTTTTGCTAAGATTGGTAATAACTCTGGGCTAAGATTCTTAACAAATACAGGAATTTTATCTGGCCCAGTAGCTTTCATAGCATCAAGAATTTTTATCAGTTTGGAAATTTCCCAAAGTTTGTGTTCCATGTAGGGATGGCCCTTGTCATCTAGTATGGAGTTAAAGGCAAAATTAATTGTAAAGATCTTCATTTTACCTGACATGGATGAGATAACCTTGAGCCCGTTTATAATGGAAAGCACTGTTATTAATAAATTTTCCAGAACTTAGGGAGCCGAGTTTTTTTAAAATTTGGCTTGGACCACTTGTGCATAGCTGTTCTTAGTATTTTCCAGGACTTTCTTGCATTGATTGCATGTAATTCTGAAAGCAGTAAGGGTTCTGCTACACTGCTCTCTCTTATAGAAATGATAGCAGTGTTTGCTTACGTAATAAATGAAACCATTTGATGATAGATGCATAAGCATCCACCAAAGAGAGGCAATGTGTTATTTGCTGCCATTAGAGCTCCAAATATACCTAAAACCTATTTTCCCTCTCCTGAAGCTGAATCACCTGGCTAAACATGTTTTCTGGGTCAAAAGGTATTTAAAATTAAATTTCTGTTATTCTTGGATGAGTGCAGGGTGATACTGGATGGTTTGATGAATGACCCTCAGCCTCTTTAACTGAGGCATCAACAAGGAAGTAAAGGAATCCTGTTTTGGGCAGGGATTGTTGGCAATGAATTGGTTGGTCCTTGGAGAATTGCTGATGATGCCAAAAATAATTCTCCTGCATACATTGAATTCCTAAGGCTCAACCTTCAACTTTGGTTAAAGAAAAAGATACTGGAATTCAAACAGAACGTGGTATTTATACGTAACATTACTCCAGCTTGTACTACTATTGCTATCATTGAATACTTAACTAAATTAACAAATTTATAAAGTGGCCAGTTTGTTCACCAGCTATTAAATCTGTCAATTTTTGTATCATCATCATCATGAGATGCCTTTGAGGACAGCAAACGATTTTCATTCAAGAATAAACAATATTAACAGCTTCTGAAGCTGTAAACATTGAAGAAATGCTGAATTTAATGTCTTCTGTAGATACTAAGTTGTTTGAAGTCATTGAAAAAAGAAAAAAAAATGGGAATTATATCAGCAAATAATATTAGTTTGCGCTTGTGTTATTTGACCAAGCTGATAATAGTTTGCTCCATATCTAATTCTTTTGAATAAATCATTGTTTGGTCATTTGTCGTTCTTTTTATTCTCTTCCTATTACTTCAAATTGATTCATTTGACATGTTTGCGTATAAATTGAAACATTTTAAATAAATCATAAACAGTATATTCCATCCTAAATGAAATTCTAGATTTTAGTAAGATCATAGATTGTGATATTCCATATGAATGTCGAACCATCACTTGATAACTCTAGGATCTTTAGTTTCATAATTATTATCATTATATAGAATGTTGGAATGCAGTCTATATCTAAGAATGATGGTGTGTAAGTGAATAGTAAAAATGGTGGGGTTAAGATTAATGCCAGTAACTTTTTCAGACTAATAACTTAGTTTAATTTATTACAATTGCTTTCAATTATAGCATGGGAGCAAGAAGAATCAATTATTCAGCATGCATTGGATATAAACAAGAAAAATACAATATGTAGTTTTTGTTAGTACAATACAGTTGCAAACTTACAAAAATATGCTGTAATTTTTTTTTTTTTTAACTGTGCAGGTAAATTCATATTTAAATCAAATGATTTTTATGATATTTAATAACTTTTTGTTTTGTTTTCAGTTCTGAGGGCATTATTTTCTATATGAAGAACATAATTTTTGATTCTGTATCTTTGAATATGTAATTCTATTTAGAATTCTTTGTATAAATCTGTATTAAATTTTCATTTGTCTATCTTCCCAATTATATTATTTATTTCATTCTTATAGTTTAGTTTTATATTAGAGGCAATGTAATATCATATTCCATCAAACAATCTTCTTTGTTAATTTTGTATATTTTGATGTTTATATTTTTTTAATGAGTTTTATAATTCTGTGTATCATTTAATATTTTGCATAGATCCCATTACTTTTTTATTTTTTTCAAAATACTTTTCCACCTTAGACCACAAAAGAAAAAATAAATGCAATTCCACAAGGTTGTCTCCCACCACCTTCAGTTAGTGGCAAATAATTGCACTTAAAGTAGTTGGGTCAGGGTCAGTATTTGAGGCATCCAGAAAAAGGAATTGCTGAGAGAATGGGATAATTTCTGAACTTACTTACACGTCCATGTGCAGGGCCCATGTTAATTGCAACTTTTTCTTAAATCTGCCACTGTGTGTGTGTGTGTGTGTGGAAGGGGGAGTAAATCTTTTTTTTTCTTTATTATGATGAAACAATTTTTTTCTTAGTATTCTAAAGACTAATGTCATAAGCATATACAAGAAAGTATTGCCTATATTTTGAAGTGGAAGGAAATTTTAGGTTTTCATTCCTACTTGTAAGTTGCTTCTGTTGTTCAAGAGGCACTTAACAATTTTTTATGTGATAATTAGATTTGTAGAACAAGCAGCAAGGTGGTGAAGGTATCATGTGAATGTGATGGTCATTAAATTGATGAAACTGTTTCATCCAACAATAAAGTTGATATAAAGAGGATTTTAATGATGGTTTTTTTTTCCTGTTAATGTGTCATAGATTGAGTAATGATTATAGCCATTTTTTTTTTTATATTTTATATAAATTCAATATCCAAGAAAATATTTACTTTAGTTCATTGCAAAGTTCTTGGCTGAAATTTATAATAATAATTTAAATTTGAATTATACTATTTTGTGCAGTATTTTTATTCTATATTTTTTATTTGTTTCTTTTTTTCAAAAATGATTTTGCAATGGCTAAATATGAATGAAAGATAGAAATTTTTAATTTTTATATTTAAAAAATTTTTTTTTTAATTACTTAAGATTTTGAAAATTGTACAAGGAGTTGATAAAAAGTTCTTGGTTTGACCTACTTACCAAAACCTGACCAAACAACAGAATTTTGCTTTTGGTGGGGAATTCCTCCTTCTTTGGGCTGAGAATTTTTCAACACCTCCTTTTTATAATATATTTATTCCCTAAACAATTTAAAGTCATGGCAAATATGAATAAGTATTCTTACTTTTTGCATCAGTTTTAGTGTTGTTTTTGGCATTTATTTTTCATAAAAGAATTGTAAATGGTTTTCTTGTGAGGACAGCAAATATCTTATGCTTAATTGTTTAATGTTAGACATTAATCATTGATAAGCTTTAAACAAACTGTTTTTATATATATATATATATATATATATATATATATATAAAAAATGATTTTTCAAAACCTTATAAAGTTGTAAATGCTGAGATACTGCTTAATTGTATTTGTTTACAAAAAGAAAAATTGTAATAATTTATTCCAGAATTTCTTATATTATTGCATTATTTTTTTCTCTTTTTTAAAAAAAGAATGCATTTTTTTTTTTCTATTTTTACAGATTTAGTACAATGCACAAATGAACCCAATGTCTCAATACCACATTTGGCTGATTTATTGATTGAGCGTACACAACATGGTAACTGGGTTGTGGTTTTTAAAGCACTGATTACTATACAGAACTTGATGAATTTTGGAAATGAGGTAAATGATCTTTTTTGTTTCTCATCCTTACTTAAATTTGAACATAAAATCTAATGTTTTATTTTTTAACATGTTCAATTAATATGGTAGATAAGTATTTAATAAGCTTGTTTAAAGACCAATAAGAGCTGTTTAAGATAATATATAGGGAAAGATTAAGATTTAGATAGCACTGTAAGATAGAATAGATTTATTGATAACTTCTTTGACAGTTTAATATATTATGCATGTTTTCATACTTAAACATCCAGTGTTTGAAAATGAAAGACTTAAAAATATATTCATTAATAATTGCTTAGATCTGGAGTTGGCAAATTTTTTTATGCAGGGTCACATCATTGTTGGCCCTGTGGGCTGCATCGCAATAACAATACTAGGTTTACAATGTCAATATAAATAACAATCAGATATGTGCATGTGATTTGTACATTTACTTGCTTATTAGACTTTATGAACAGACTGCACAAATACACTTGCTTCTATTTGAGATTTGTACTTGGATTGAGGAATTGGAGAGCTGAGTTTGAATTCCATTTGAATCCATTACATTCACTTATATGCTAATACCCTTGGGAAAGGTATGAATCCTCCTCTTCTCCCTCCAGCTATGGGTAAATAGCAGGACAGACTGGGTTCTATAGCCTTGGATGGCAACCTACTGTGGGGAAAAAATCTGCCTCGTCAGTCATATATAGAAAGATATATGATCGCCTAAGTATATATCATGCATGGCACATAACTGAACATCTGAGAAAAAATATTTGACCATAATCAGAAATTATCACTTAATCTTGTGAGATTTTTATAGTAAAGCACAGAAATGATATCCCATTTACACACAGATGCCTAGATTCATATGTCAGTTTACACACACGCACACACACTCCTAGATCTGTATGTAAGTTTACACTGATCCAGTGTTTGGACATTGGCAAAGTGGGACATAGTGATCCAGATGCTTGTGTTAATGCATAACATGATGTCAGATTTATAGGAAATGGTGTTACATATACACAGAGATCCTTACATCTATTTACACTGTTGCAGTGTGTGGGAGATTGCAATCCAACATAAAATTTGTTGTGCTCTTGCAGAACACATGCAGGCTGTAGCTTTCCCACCCCTGGCTTAGATAATGTAATTAATTGTACCATAGGTAAGAGCAGCAATGAGATCATGTATATTGTATTAGCTATATTGTGTAGCATGAAAATAAATGCTTGAGCCTGTTAACAAAATTAAATAAGTGGTTGGGAATGCAAATTATAGACAAACAATTTATATAATCAAAGAATGATCTATCATGGTATTTTTTCTTTCCTTCAAGATAAATAAAATATTATGCTAGGCTTGATAAATTTACTTTTAAATACCATACTTGGTGAACAATTAAAAAAAATTAAGTCTCGGATTTTCATGTTTTCAAAACCAAAACTACTTGTGTAGCTACTGCTATTTAAACTTAAAACTTAGAATAGCTTTTCACAAACCACTTATTAATCCTATTATCACTATTAATTTTTAGTATCAATATATTTACATTTTTATACTTCATTAAGCATTGATAATCTCCACTTTGATTAAAGTTTCACTAAATAAAGCTGTCAAATCAGTTAAACATTTATAAATCTTGCCGTATAAAACTATTGGTTTTCATTGGTACTTTTAAAATTTATTCTGAGCATTTTTTGTTCTTTATTTTTGGTAGCATACATAGTTGCTTTTTTTTTTTTTTTTTTTTTTTTTTTAAAATAAACTCTGTTTAACTTATTTGTTGGTAGGTCTATTTTTTAACATAACTATTATGCTGGATTTTTCTTGTAAAAAGAAAAAAATTAATATCTCCATTGTAATTTTAAAATGTGTTTTATTTTCCTACAGGTCAGTTGTATGTACAGCAGAATATCTAGTGAAGAATGTAATATATGCATGCATGTGTGATAAAATCTATTAATAATTTAAACAAGTATGAAATATCTTCAAACCTGAATCTGCACAAAAGGCACAAAGTTTTACAAACATTCAATTGTTGTCAGATCATGAAAGTGAATATAATATAATATTGTTGATTCTTCTTTGGATTTTATCAATGAACTCTGGACCATATATGGCAACAATATTCTAAACATAGATGAATGGTAGACTTTAGAGATATGCAAGATAGATTCTGGAGAGAAAAAATTATCTAGCACAACACAGTGAACCAACTTTCTTAGCATCTGACCTAACAGTTGATTCAATATAGTCTTTCCACTCAATGTCAGCTGAGAACATTAGCTCGGGAAGGCACAACATGTTACTCTCCTGGAGATTAGCATCATCTATGCTGCTAGAAGGCAAAAAAGGGGGTCTCTCAGATGATTATTTAGTAAGCTTAGTTTAGTTTGGTATAGTGTTAAGTAAGAAAGCTCTACCTGCTTTAAAAATCAAGCTTCAAAGTCCTCTTGTCTCAAGCATTGATATTGTGTGAATTAGGACATATTCAACAACCCTAGTCACCAAGCAGTGATTTCACTCTTAAATGTTCTAAAAATTGAGATTTCACTGAAAGATGATTCATTTATAAAAATATAAGTATGGCACAATTATTTATGGCATTCAGTGGTTATAGAAATTAAGTGAATGAACTTGGTGACTATACAAAAATAGAAAAAGGAGTAAGACAAGGATGTGTTTTCTCACTGGATTTATTTAACCTAAAATGATAACAGATGGAAAAACCTACCAGGATTTATTTTCTGTAGACGTAATCTTAACAACAGAAGATACACAGATGATGCTGTGTTGATGGCAGACTTGGAAAGGAAACTGAAAGAACTCTGAGACAAGGTAATAAAAAGAAAGCAAGAAAAGACTAACCATTAACTGTAAGAAGATATAATGTAGGGTTGTTAGTAAAAAGGGACAGCCCCAAAATGTGAGCTATATACTGAGTATGTCAAAACCAAGCAGGTACAGCAATTCAACTATCTGGGTAGTGTAATAACAAACAAATGTGACAAGGAAATCTGAAGCCATATAATAGTGAAAGATGTCTTCCAGAAACTAAGCAAAGTACTAAGACAGGAAAATACTGCTTAAACACTATGTAAAATTTCCTATATGTTAGGGAGTGTGGAGACAGTTTCTGCATATACAAAGGCAACAAAGCAGAGACCTGAAGTGACAGGTGTAGTTGTACCTATATATGCTAAGAATAGCAGGGACAGATTATGTGAGTAATAAGGAAGTTTTAAGGAAAATAGGGGCAAGGAAATTTACAATCAGAAAGAAACAGCTGTGATTTCACTCTTTTATTTTAATATATTCTAACAATGAAAAACTTATTAAAAATAATTTTCACAATTTTTTTCTTTTTAAGAATATAGCTTTTTATTATTTGAAGATTGATAATTCAAATAAGTTGAGACATTAGTCCAATAATTTGTAATTATTTTAGAACTATCTAGAATGTATCCAGTTACTTGGCTCTTACTATAGACATAGTGATATTTTAAAGATTTTTTTTCTTCTATTTAATTTCTTGTCCTTGGAAAAATCCTTCTTTTAGTTATATGGTAGGTGTTTATGATAAAACTGACAATAACATTAATTAGATTGGTCTCTGATATTTATTGCTATTGGCTACAGACAGCCAAACTTCAAAGGAGTATTGACAGCATCTGGCTGACCATAACATCTGCAATAATGCTACCAATTCTAAGGCTAAATTCAAAGCTGTCTATAGAAACATTTCCTATTCACAAGGCTTGGTCTCTTTTAGTGGTCCCATTTTTAGAGTTATTCTAAGAAACCAACATGACAAAATTATCTTAAATATTTAAAAAAAAAAATAGTCTAAATACAATCATTTTATGTATTTATTTTTTTCCAGTTTAAATAGCTGGAAAAAATTAATCCCTCTTCAAAAAGAAAAAATCTTGTAAGCAACTTACAATTTATAGAACTTGTTATAGTTTAGATTGAGTTGTTTGTTCATTTAAGAAAATAAAGTTTGAGGTCAGTATATACTCTTTGCAATGTGTTAGATAGCAATTAATTTTTGGACTTCAGTTAGTTTTTATTCATGCCAATTTTCTCAACTCATTTCCTGTGTTAAGAAAAATGTTTAAAAAAATCCCAAATCTGTAGAAACTGAATTTTGGTTGTGTTAGTCAGCTAAGTATGAGATTGAAAAGAAAAAAAATATTGATACTTAAACCACTTTGTATTAATACTTTCACTGCTGCATTGTTCACCGGCTGTGCTGGCCCATTTTAGGAAAAATAGGAAATTGCCATTTATTGGAAATAAATGACTATAAAAACACTGGTGATTTCTCAAGGGTGCTGCCATTTCAGCTTCAATTGGATACTCTACAGTTCTGACTAAGCTAAATGACACCCTCTACACATGATCTAATAAAAAATACATTACAAAAACAGGTTGTATAGTATGCTACTATATGTCTAAGCTGGTTTGGAAATAGCACGAAGCAATAAGTTAGTTTTTAACATAAGACTAGGGACCAACATTTCATTGTGTTTGAAAATGTATGTCGGAAAAGAATATATACTTTTTTTTTTTTTTTTTATACATCAAGAAAAATTTTAGGAGTAAGAAGTATGTGACAAAATGTTTTTGTACATGTTTTGTCCTTTAGGACTTCATTGGACAAAATCCTTTACAAAAAAAACTTTTCCACACTACTTTGTGTGTGTGTGTGTGTGTATATATATATATATATATATATATATATATATATATATATATATATATATGTTATTTAAGTCATGGGAATTACGTGTGAAAAATAATATCACCCAAATGTCTGCCACAGCTTCGGCGGCACACCTTCTCTCGATGGTCAGAATTTTTGATGATGTCTCTGTATAGTTGCTCGTCGATCTCACCAATATGCCTTATTATCTCATCCTTCAGCTGTTGAATTGTTTTTGGCTTGTTAGCATAGACCTTTCTTTTGAGATATATATACAAAATTGACAGCAGGAAATGTAAGT